CACCACCCCCCACCCCCGCCGCTTCGCGACACCCGGAAGTTGCGTGTCGCATCCCGGCGCCGGCCTCCCTGTCGGGGGTGACGCCGCAGCGGACTGCCCTTCCCCAAGATGGCGTCGAAGATGGGTTCGCGACGGTGGATGCTGCAGCTGATCATGCAGCTGGGTTCGGTGTTGCTCACACGCTGCCCCTTCTGGGGCTGCTTCAGCCAGCTCATGCTGTACGCTGAGAGGGCCGAGGCGCGCCGGTGAGCGGGCCCACGCGGCCGCCGAGCGCGGTGGGGGGGCGGTACGGCCCGTCCCAAGAACGGGGGTGCGGTGAGGTGGGGAAGAAGTTGGGACCCTTGGGCTGGGGAAAAGTTAGGACCTCGGGCTTGTTAGGGGCTCCGGTCTGGGGCAAGGTGGGCATCGAGCGTAGTGCAGGGGTCCTGGCCGTGAGAAGGGCCTCCGGTTCAGGGGAGCAGTGGAGCTTGTGGGAACTCAAGGGTTCGCGAGGGCCTTCTCCCGCTTCATTCTGTCCTCGTTGCTTCTTCCCCTATCCGGCTCGCAGGAAGCCCGACATCCCAGTGCCCTACTTGTACTTCGACTTGGGGGCGGCCGTGCTGTGCGCCAGCTTCATGTCTTTTGGAGTGAAGCGGCGCTGGTTCGCGTTGGGGGCCGCCCTTCAGCTGGCCATTAGCACCTACGCCGCCTACATCGGGGGCTACGTCCACTACGGGGACTGGCTGAAGGTGAGCACCTCGGCCCAAGGCGGGACTTCGCTAGGGGGATGGGGAGCCCGAGGCCAGTGCCCTGTGCCCCGCGGCAGTTGGGAAATGCATGGTGCTAGCCAGGTGCATAGTGTGAAGCCTGGGAAGGCAGAAGCCCCAGGCTTGTGGAGATTATTACAGACTGCAAGGATGAAAGGACCTTAGAGACCACACAAGACCACCTTTCAGAGTGTGAAAACTGAGGTCCGAAGATGAGAAACAGACTTTCCCAAGGTCACACCACAGTTAGCATTGCAGGTGAGACCAGAACCCTTTAAACCATTAGTTGAGTAATGTCAGACTATAGGGCTAAAGGGACCTTGGAGAGTACTGGTTCCAACCATCTGATCTTATGAAATTTAATTAATTTAGTGCAGTATGTAAACCTGAAAGTGTCAGAACCCGTGTCAGGTGCTGCAAGCTTGTAGATAATCCTGGACAAAGGCAGGGACTGTCAGTCCAGTCGGGGAGGCAGATGTGTGAACAGCTACCGGACAGTGGGATCAATGGTTTTTTCATGGGACAGACTATACTATATAGCAGAAAGAACATTGGGATTTGAGTCTGTACTCCTGGAGGTGCAGAGGGGGCAACTCTTGGTGTCTGGGTTCTGCCACTTTCTGTAGGACCTTGGACATTTTTAGTAACCCCTCTGGGCCTCAGTTTCCACTTCTGATAAAAAGAGTTATCTATCTCTGCTGCACCTGCCCACCACACTTGGAAATGGTAAGAGTGTTCATCAGATGGAATGGGATGTATAGCGATGGGCACTTCTGTGCTCTGGACAGCCAGGAGAAACGTGGTGGCTGCAGTTCCTGACTGGGGTCCCCTCACCCCGGTCCAGGTCCGTATGTACTCACGCACAGTTGCTATCATCGGCGGCTTTCTGGTGCTGGCCAGCGGTGCTGGGGAGCTCTACCGCCGGAAACCCCGCAGCCGCTCCCTCCAGTCCACCGGCCAGGTGTTCCTGGGCATCTACCTCATCTGCGTGGTAGGTTGGGGGGCTGTTGGCTGGAAGTGCTTGCCTGGGAGTGAAGTAGAACCCAGGGAGGTGGGCAGAATAAGGCCTTGCATGTAGTTCCTGATGGTCTGCCTCCTGGGAACTGCCCCAGCCAGCTTTTGGGCCTCAGAGGCCCTTCAAGTGCCTGAGACCTGGCTGAGAGTCCCTTCTTCCAGCATTATGGCCACCAGGGAGAGAAGAGGTTGCATGGACCATTCAGTCCCAAGCCTGAGAGTCAGGAGAACAAGGTGGACTGGTCCTCTCATGGCTCCAGCCCCCAGAGGACTGAGAGAGGGGGCAAAGGAGAGGTTTGGTGGGGTTCAGACCCCAGATGGGGCTCTATCACTTAGAGTCGGTGGGGGTTGCCTAGGGTAGCAAGTTACGGTACTCCCTACTGGAGGACCTAGGCTGAGCCAGTGTGGATGGGGACCTGGACAGGCTCCAGGTCACTTGGCTTCATCTTAGTTACTGGGCACCATATCCCATGTGCAGAGCTCTGTATTCAGAGGTGAGAGCCCCAGTCTGGCAGTGGAGACACACTTCCACTCTCCTGAGCCCCGAAGGTGAGGAGAGCCAGGCCCTAACCGCATGAGCTCCCTAGTCTGGGTGGGGGGGAAGATGCAGGCCCTCCTCTCCGAGAGCCCCAACTCTGAGCCGGGAGTCAGAAGCCCACCTTGCAGAGGCGGACTTGCAGGTGCCATCTCAGGGGCAGCTGTCCCCAGACAGGCTCCTCAGCCCGCCAGAGAGACTTAGAGGATGGTGTGTCTTTAGGCCTACTCACTGCAGCACAGCAAGGAGGACCGGCTGGCCTATCTGAACCATCTCCCGGGAGGGGAGCTCATGATCCAGCTGTTCTTCGTGCTGTATGGCGTCCTGGCCCTGGCCTTCCTGTCAGGCTACTACGTGACCCTGGCTGCCCAGATCCTGGCCATACTGCTGCCCCCAGTCATGCTGCTCATTGATGGCAATGTTGCCTACTGGCACAACACACGGCGCGTTGAGTTCTGGAACCAGATGAAGCTCCTTGGAGAGAGTGTGGGCATCTTCGGGGCTGCCGTCATCCTGGCCACTGATGGCTGAGTGGCACGGCAAGAGGCCGAGATGGGCACAGGGAGCCACCGAGGGCCACCCTGCCTTCCTCCTTGCTGGCCCAGTTGTTTCTTTATGCTTTCTGCTCTGTTGGTTTGGTTCTTTGCTGTGTGTGTATATGTGTTGGTAAGAGGCAGGTCTCTTCCCCGGTGCCTGGGCTCGGCCCTTGCGGGGTGGGAGCCCTGATGATGATGCCTTACAGGGGTTTTTCCTGTTCGTTAGTAGGAGACCTGAGGCCAACTGCTCCCTGGGTCTCCTGTCTCAGAGAAGGGAGTAAGGCAGGGCTCGGGTGGGGGTACTGAGAGTGGGAGACAGAGAAAGGAAGACCAGGAACCGGAAGTGAGCAAATGTGAAAGATTCCTTTTTGAGCCTGGCAAGTGCAGCTAGGCTCTATAGTGTTTTTTGGAGACTGAGAGTGAGTATGTGTGTTGATGCCGGGATTGGGCCAGGAGGAGCCGAGAGGCCGGGCACCGCAGAAGTCACGTGAGTTCTCAGGGTATCCCGGGGGCAGAAGCAGCACTAGCTGTCGCCCCACCTTGAAAGCAGAGCAGGCCCCAGTCTGGGGTGTGCAGGGGTAGGGTAGGCAGTGGCCAGCGTCCCGTCTCCTGCCTTCTGTTTCCGGCTCTATGTTGGCCTGGTTGGGGTGAGTGCCCTCCCAAACACCAGACCACACAGTCCTCCAAAAATAAACATTTTATATAGACCTTTGGCTTTGCTTCTATGTTCTCCCCACAGGGCATGTTGCCATTGGCTGGGATTGATCTTGGGTTTCTTGAAAGACCACATCTGGTTAAGCCCCACTTTGGTCCTCCCGTGATCTCTGCCCTGTTCTGAGAGTTCCCACAGGCCTTTGGCTGTCTAGTCAGGATCCTCCCTGTAGTCTGCCTTTGATCCATCCCCTTAGTCCCTGTGTCATAGCTTGTCTTTTCCTCCCCTTTTATCCTCCTGGTTTCTTTTGAAGAAACCTTTGGTGAGGGCAGCTAGAGGGTGGGGGGGACTAACATTAAGTGTCCATTATGAGGATTCTACATCTTACAGATGAGGAAATGGAAGCTCAGAGAAGGCGAGCAGCTTACCTCAAGGCACAGAGCAAATGTAGCCACAGCTGGATTCCAGGTTGGGCCTGTCTAATGCCCACACACAGCGGTGCACTCTGTCACCCCTCTCCTGAGGGAAGTCAGAGGCTGCTCCTGGGGTTTGGTTCTGTCGTGGCCCCGCTGTGCCATGATGGTCCTCTCTGTACTTGTCCATGCGCCTCCTGATTGAAAGTAGCTCAGCGACCAGTATGGGGGCCTGGCACATTGTGGGGGGTCAAAAATGCAGAATGAAACCTCTGGCTTTGGACTCCCGCCGGCTGAGGTGTTCTGTTCCCACAAATGGAGACAGCCTCCAGCGGGACCGAGGGGAAAACATCCAAGCCTGGGCCTTGCTTGGAAAGAGAGCTGGAGCTGCTGTTGGTCTGGTCTGTGGGATGGAGGGGAGCCCCTCTGGGGGGCTGCTGACACCCAGGTGAGGGAGGCAGTGACAGCATTCATCTTGGGGGCACTCCATCTCATTTAGCTCTTCTCTTCCCTCTGGGAGCCCCCTGGTTCTCCAACCCTCAAGATCTTGCTCCCAGAAGGTCACTGCTCATTCCTTTCAAGTGTGAGCTGACTCTCAGACAAGTATTTGTGTTTTAATGAAGGCCTCCTGAAAAGTTGTAAGACCCAAAGGGATTAAAATAAGTGGTGGAATATCAAGCAAATGGGGGTGATATTTTGGGCAAGGGAGCCTCAAAACAGAGGCCGCAGAAATTGGCCCACCTTTAAGGTTATCCCTGAGTAGAGCCCTGGAAGGCAAGCCCCCCACCCTCACCTCCCATATCTCTAGACTGAAAATTGAAGGCCCCGGGTTATAGCTTTGGAGCCAGGGGTGAGGGTGGGGGAGGGGTGTCTTGGTCACACCCTTCTTCCTGTGCTTGTCCCCACTTGGGCGCCCCCCTCTGGGCAGAGTAGAGTAGGAGCTGCTTCCTCCTCTGCAGATCACTTAGCCATCAAGCCTGGTCCAGCCTGTGGCTGCCTGGGATCACCTCCAGCAGGCATGGCTTTTGGTTCACCCTGGTTGTCCCAGGGCCTGCAGGGTGGGCGGTGAGGGTCACCTGCCTGGGTCAGAAGCTGGTTTGCAGAAGGAGTCTGGCAGCCCCTTGGCATGGTTGACCAGCTCATAAGAGTCCCGGATATCGGCCAGGCCAAACCAGAAGAAGATCCACTGCTTGTTGGAGAAGCTGCCATCACAGTGTTTGAAGTACCTGGTGGGGGGAAGGGGAAGGCTTTTAGGGCAAGGCCGGTGCTCACTACTCACTGGTTATTTTGAGGACCTACTACATGCTAGACACCCTGATATTACTGGTTTCATCCTTACAGCAGCAGCAGCCAGGATTCTGGTGGTGGCTTGCTCTTTTCCCAGAGAAGCAGCTAAGGCTCAGAGAAGTTAGTTGACCTGCCAGAGTCCCAAAGCTAGGAAGGTTAGACTGAGGATGTCCTTTGCTCTCTGTGCCTCCAGGGGAGGGGTTCTTGTTCACCTCTTGGTCCCCACAGAGCTGGGTGAGGGGATAGTTGCAGAAGGAAAGAGAAAGGAGAGAATGTTTCGCTGGAGATGCAGTGGGCCTGGGGTCAGCGCTTGGCAACTGGGCCTGGAATAGAGCCTGGAGGGTCAGGATTTCTGAGGACTCTGGGAGAGTTGGGGAGCGTCTTCAAGGAATCCACTGCCATGGGGCAGAGCGTCTTTAAGTGTGCTCTGCTTCTGGGGAAATCTCAGACTCCGTGGGTGGTCTGCTCCCTGGGGAATGTGGGGCCACACTGAGCGGAGCCCTTTCCTTGGGGGAAGCCGGTCCTTCCGGGGGCGTGGCTTTGGAGAGCCGGGGCTGGGGTGGGGGCGGGACCTACCAGGGATTGATGGGGTTGGTGACCCGGGAGCGCCAGAAAAGCGTCTGCAGGTCCCGCCGCAGGCACTCCCACAGCATCTGGCCCGAGCCTTGGCCCTGGCGGCTGGAGCTCACCACAAACTTGTCTAGATAAGGGGTGCCCCCCAGTACGGGCTCCGTGGTCAGAATTGCGGCCGCGTTGTACCTGGCGCAGCAGGGGAGAGGCAGGCTGGGACCTCTCCTTGGCCCCAACCTGCCCAGCTCTGTCCCTCGGTCCCTGCCCTCTGGGCCCCGCAGGCTCACCCCTCAGAGACGTAGACAGAGTGCAGCCGCGGGCGCAGCGAGGCCAAGTAGTCGTCCCGCAGCTTCTTGCCGAAGCTGGCGTTGACCAGGTTCACCAGGCGGCCCTGGTCCAGGCTGTCCAGGCTGCGCACCCGCAGCATCCGATCGGCGTTCTTGAACAGGGTCCCGGACCCTGGGGGTGGCATGGAGGAGGAGGGGTTAGTTTGGCCCAAGAGCCAGGTCCCATCCGCTCCTGCATTTGCCCTGCCTGGTGGGGGGTCCAGATACGACAGGGCGGGGGGGGGGGAGAGGAGGCAGTGACCCTCTTTGGGAGATCTCCACAATGAAGTGATTTCTGTGGTCGGCATAGATATGTACATGATTTTCACACAGGGAGATGCTTTCCCCTGGCAGTTTGTCCCTCAGCTTCCGTCCATCGTCCGGAGACCCACCTACTTCCCCTAGACCCGCCTCCCTCCCCCGAAACCCGGTCTCGCCTGGTCTCCGCCCCCGCCCCCAGGCGCGGCCCTCACCCTTGTTGCTGAAGAGCTCGGTGAGCAGCGTGCTGGCGGCGGTGATGGCGGCCGAGGAGTGGTGCGGCAGGCGGCTGAGCACGTCCACGATGAGCCGCACCTGCTGCCGCGCCTTGGCGCTCACCCACTCGGCGTTGGTCACCAGGTCCAGATCGGCGGGCAGGTTCACGTTACTCAGGACCTGCGTCCAGGCGCAGGGGGTGAGCCTCTGGCCTGCAGCCGGCCACGAACCGCGCCCCTGCCCCACGGACCCTTCCTCACCGACCCCTTTACCCTCACTTCCTCCCGGAGCCCTCGGCCAGGGAGAGTTCGGATCTGGGCAGCACGCCGCTTCCGACCCACCCGGCTTGAGAATGACTCTGGGGCCCGTCTGGGAGGCGAGCCGGGAGCACGAGAGGGGCTCATCCAGGCCCAGAGTCGCGGGAGTGGAGCCCGTAAGGAGGGGACACACCTTTTGACTGCTGTCGTGCAGGCCTCCTCTGTTATTGAGGAAGATGATTTTGGTGGGCTGTAGCGCCTTGGCTAGAGCCGCGGTCACCTCCAGCGAGTCGAGGAGCACGGAGCGGCGCGCGGTCGTCTCCCCGATGGGGCACAGGATGGGGATGCTGCCGGACTCCAGGCACCACTGCAGCAGGTCGGTCTCCACCGAGACGATCCCGCCGTAGCTGTGGGCCAGACGTGGTGCTCAAGAGGGCCCCCTCCAGGCCTGCCGGGCTCGGGCAGGGCGCGCGGCGGAGCGGAGTCCAAGCACGCCGGGCCAGGCGGGGCCCGCACTAACCTGGCATGAGGGGCTGGCTCCGCGGCGCCCAGCACCGATCCGCCGCCAAAAAAGGGCACGGCAGTGGCGGCGTTGTGCCGCAGCTCATCCACCAGCACCTTGCAGTTCTGGGCAAGCTGTGCCTTGGCCTCCCAGAAGGAAAGGCAGCCAGAGGGCGCGGCGGGCGCGGGCAGCCCGAGGACTACCAGCGGCTTCATGTCCATGCGCTGCAGGAATGCCAAGGCGAAGGCCAGGCTGGATACGGCCCGACTGCACTTGAGTACTTCCTCGTCCACCTGCGGGAGAGGGCACGTTCAGGAGGGCCAACGCTGGCTCTGACTCCTGCAGCCTGGTCCCAGGGGCCCTGTCGGTGCCCCTACCGTGCCCAGGAGCAGTCAGGCGCCATTTCTGGCTACCGGCGCCCACCTGCTCCGCCCTTTGCCCCGTTGGGTCTTGCCATCCCCTTATCTCACATTAGTGTTCCTCCCTCTGTGCCTCCCTGCGACCTTGGACTCTCTGACTTCTTGGGGGGAGGGGTGACCCAGGCGGCTCCTGTCCAGGTTCCCCACTTGCCATCTGAACCCCTGACTGCGCCCATGGTGGGGGGGGGTACTTCTCCAGCGCATCACACTTAGTGGATTAGGGTCCCCAGTCTCCTCGCCTGGGCTGGGCGTGAGACTATTGGAACAGCGCGCAGCTTCACCCAGTCCCGGGCACTCGGCAGGGCACCGTCGAACCCCTTCCCACTTCCGCTGTGCAGAGTCCGCAGCTGGTCCCGCCATGCCTGGCGACCCGTCGCCGTACAACCCCCATCCATCCCCTCGCTGTGACATGGCCGGCGCCGCGCTCCGCTCACCTCGATGACGGCGAAGGGCTTGTCGGCGGAGTGGTAGCAGGTCTGGAACTGCGTGAGCCAGTGGCGCGCCTCCCCGGGGCTGGCTCCGCACTGGTTCAGAAAGGCCTGGATGTCCCGCTGCACCAGCGAGCGGCCAGCCGGGGGCCCGGGGGGGTCGGGAGGGGCCGGGGGCGCGGGGGGCGGCGTCCATTCCGGCTCCTCCGCGGCAGGCGAGTGGGTGTCCTCCTCGGCGCCCTCGGTCCCTTCTCGTGCGGCCTGGGCCGGCGCCCAGGCGGTGCTGAGCCG